TTACGGTTGTGGATGGGAAGGAAAGGCTGCTGGTCACCTTCTTCTACCTGCAGAATCGTTGCCATGTATATAAGCAGTTTTGTTTCTGAGTGTTTACATCGTTCACCTTTCGATTTCAGGCTTATGAAGTTTGCAGTCACACCCTAAACGATTCTAAACGTGTAATGCAGTATATAACAAAGCAGCTAAGTGCGAATGGGTCAGGACCAAAAAATACTGAAAGCAGCTCTTTCCGAGTGTCCACCTCAAGTGCCCGATGTTCATGCGACCTTTTTGGTGTGAATTGGATTGGATCATGCTCGCACCAATGCAACATGCCAAGGAAGGGGGTTCCATGAAACGACCTGGAATTTTTTCATGGCCATAGGCTTAAGGCACCGTAAAGAATACAAAGTTGCTTGAAGGTTTGACGCAGACCACACACAAACAGTTACTTGACAACAAAACAGATACACAGCAACAGGCGTGTGCAGCGCAAAACTTCGAGTGGCGGTCCATCCAGTAGGTTTCCAAAGGGGTCATGGGAACTCATCCTGTCCAACCAGGCGCGAAAGCCATGAGAGCATGTGGTCCGGAGACATTTTGGGGGGGTCATGTTACTCCCAAAGATGGAGGAAGATTGACCCGCCTTGCAGGATCAACGATATCCACATCAAAAAAACCTTGCCCGGGCAAGCGGCTTGCAAGCGGGGTCTTGGGGTACCAGAAGCAGATGCAGTCGGATGCAGATGATTTGTTTGGCGCGTGAACAGCTGATGTATATTTGGCGTGGTTCAAGTCATTTCCATCGTTTCAGTCACATGGCAGATCCAACGAGATTTCATGATAATCACGTGAAAGATCCAACAAGCAGGCGTCGCAAACAATGATTTGACTAATGACGTCACAACTGTTCAGCATTGTGTCCAACATGTTCCTTCAGCATCGCTATCCGGGACGACTGTGAATGAGAAAGCCAACATCCTACTCCACAAGCAAACAATCATTCAAGTGTGCAAGTGGGCTGCCGATTCTGCGCGCCAAAAAGAGGAACCATGCTACCACAAGACACCTTCACTCCTGTGTCTTGCCTGGGCAAGGCAAGGCCAGGTGGCTTAGAATCTGTGTTCTTAGGGATGAAATGGGTTTGACACTTGCGGTCCATCATTGTCACAGTCATCGGACATACAGTAAACCCAGTATGGGAGCGCTTTAAAATTCGGGGTGATCTCGAATGTCCCGGTTCCATGCCCTGGTTGAACTAAGGATCCTTTGGTGAGTTTGATGATTTATAGACAGTTTGGAACAGAGTCTTGGCAAAGTGTTCTGCCAGGCCAGGGGCAGGTGGTGCAGAATTTGTAAATTGAGGAGACGAGCATCTCATCTACCAGCTCGCGGGGGCCAGCTTTGTTTGGAGTACAATTACAAGAACCGCTGCAATTGAAATGAACAAGCTGTCGAGCACACACTGTCCAGAGGTATGATTTGCCAATCTAACCCTTTGAACATTGGACAAATCCGAATATCGCAAGAGAAGGAGCTCCGAAGTTTCCCCATTTTATTCAATGTTGGTGGCCACAGCCGTTTTGAATCTTTGTGAAACATCATTGAGTATCAGATACCCTCAGCCTCAGGTACTGACGTTGCAATGTAAAAGGCAACACCAATCTGATGTGTATTCCATCAAGATGCATTTGCGTTGCAATGTAGTTAAGGCTATGCCGAAACCAATTGAAGGGAAGCTCTTCTTTGTACTCTCCCGCAGACCAATGCACCCCCAAAAGCCAAGGAGAATCCATGTCCAAGGTCAATATGAGACTCTAGCCGGTAGGATGGGGTATGTGATCTCTTGCGTAAACAGAGAGGGGTGTGCTGAGGTGTGAAGAGCATCCTTGCACCAGTACGGTGCCACTTTGCCCCTAGGCCAAGCAAAGACGTGTTGCTGGCCGATTGGGAATTCCACTTGGTTGGGGCAGTGGATCTAAAGGCTGCGGGTACAGCCAACTTGGAACTGTGTGCCCAGTGACATCCAGTGACGCTTGAGTTGAACACACAGTGACTCACCAAGATGGCTCGCGAAGTCGAAGAGCTTCGCTCCTATCGAGGTTCTTGAAAACACAGACGCGCTGTTTTGCACCTTGAGGCATCATGGCTAAGGCATGATGCACCCATCAGCCCCGCATGGAACTGTCGGTGTCAGACCGGCTTGTCAGTGTGGCAAAACAAGCAACTCGAATTCCTCGAATGCCATTGGAATGTCATTGCCTAGCCTGTTTCATGGGTGGGGAGAATGGCGCGAGCGCAGGTCTTTGTCGGTGCACGCCGTGTAGATGTGTTCCCTCCTTTCTCGAAATTGTGCATTGCGCCTAGATGTCTCATCCACATCGAGGATTTCTGTTGGAGAGGCTTGCTTATAATGCCTTTGGCTTCTTGCTCTAGATGTTCTGGAGCGATTTTCTTGAGCTTCCTCCACACTCAATGTCAATGGAGAGCTCGGAAGTTCTGTGTCCTCGAAACTGACAATGCCAAGACCTCAAGACTTCAGCAATGTTTTTTTGATATGATGCAGCCGAGAGCAAGAAAGCACAGCCTGACTGACTTCTCATGTGGGTGCTATTACAAACACGTTGTTTTTCCACATAGCTCCAATCAGTGCGATCAAGCTTTGCTCCGAGGGCTATTTTTGCAGGTTGCTTTTGCATGTGTTCATGTCACTTTCACATTGAAGGCGATGCTTGGCAAACTGAATATCTGCGCAGCCTTGGTAAGGTTATGCTGCCAGCAAAGCATAATTATGGCTGGCGGCCACGAAGGGATTGGTTTGCATAGTGTCTTGACACTTGCCTTGCCCTTGGTCCGGAGTGTTTTTCTTTGGAGGGAGATGAAGTTGGCCTGATTCCGGCAATGGTGGTGAATGCCGCCAACTATGCCGTCGGAAGCTTGATTTGAGGCCTAGGGCACATTTGGCCTGCACGCAACCATGCCACAGAGCACGCATTTTGTGTAGCAATGGTTTGAGAGGCTTATTTGTGGTGGTCATCGGGTCACTAAACTTAATGCACTTCTCCGAGCTGTTGGGGGCCATGCCTGGCAGATGAGGTTCTGATTCCTTGAGGTTCACTGCGTAGGCATACAGGCTGGGGCGGTTTGGGCTTCCTATTGGAGAGTTGCTCAAGCTGTCGGCCCTCCATTCCCCCGTAAATATGCCATAAATACTAAAAATTCACCTAGTTTTTGTCGGAGACATTTTGAATCTCATCATCAGTCGATTTCCATGCTGTCCTTTCTTTCCGGTCATCGCTTCTTCGAGCTCCCCATGTTGACGGTCGCTCGCTGTCACTGCTTCACTCGTTGTTCCCACCGGACATGCTTGTTGTTCCCACCGGCTGGCCAGCAGTGGGTGGCGCGGAGAGGAGGAGGCAGAAATTATAAATTGAACTAAATTGAGTTTCACTCCTCCTTTTCCCACCGGCATGACAAGCCAGGCAAGCCAGTGATGTTCCCATAAGAGTGATTTTTATGATGAAGCCATGACAAGTCAATGATCTTCTCTGAAGCAGTGCCTCTGTGGCTTCCATGTGATGACACAGTGGCCAGTTAGCTGAACCTGTGTCGTGCAAAATCACAGTGATGAGTCAAGGTTCTTGTAGTTTTGTTTGCTGCCAACCTTTTGGTTCAGTAGTGCTCCTCTTTCGTCACTTACCCAGCTTTGCTCAGTAGAAAGCTTGAAGTGTTGACTTGTTTGACTTCAGTAGGCTTCAACAGGGAATCTAGACTGCATGTTTGAAACTCACATCACTCGGGTGACCTTTCCGTAAGCTGGGAGTACGGGAAGGGTTTTGGGGATGCATTGCAGGTGGTCATGCGGGTTGTGAAGGTCCATATTAACTGCATGAGGCCTTGCAGGTCATTTTGTTCGCATTATGTCGTGCTATGTGGCCTTGCAGCTTGCGTCGACCTGTCAAAGCTGGGTCAACACTTAGCAAGTACCGCGCCACAAGGCAATGGCAAGAGGGGCCAATCACCAGTCCATCCAAACAGGTTGTTGTGTGCGCATTGAAAGGCTTGTTGGAGTCATGGCCATTTCAAGGGAGCAGCATTTCGACTTTTGCAAACTCTGCTTAAGAGGAAGGCTGCGAAGGGTTTGTCCTTTGTTTGCATCAAGACAAAGCGCTAGATTTGTTCAGTTGCCACGTCGAAATTGCTCGCATTTGCCCAATCGGGATCGTATTGTATGCTTCCCTGCCTCACCAAGCTGTGAGCTACGCCCATGTGATCGGTGAGCCGATTTTAAGGGAAAAGATGGGAAAAACGATGTCCCAGTGTTTTTGAAAAGAAGGAACTCCCTATGAAGTGGACAAAAGACCTACTTTTGGTATCCCTACTTTTTCCAATGACCTTTGGCTTTGAAAGCCTGATCATCCTGCCATGGAAGATGCGATGCTCGACTGGAGTGCACACCGCAGGGTGATCGGGGTGATTTGGGTCCCACACCCGGTCAACCACCAGGCCACAAGGCCGCAACGTACAGCATGCTTTGTTGGTATAGTGACTCTGGTCATGAACCCATTTCTCAGGGCAACCCTTGGTTAGATGAGTTCAGACCCCGATTTTAGGTTTAATGTTCAGCTCTGTCGTGATCCCCCTAAAGAGCTCAACTCGAAATTTGCTAAAGGCATCAAAATCCAAGTTCAAGAGGACCAAGATGATGCAATTTTAAGCGCAACACACTCAATACCTTCCAGCTTTGGGAAACTTCGCTATACTTTGAGGTGCTTCAGCAGCGGGGAGGTCCGATTTGACTGAAAAATCACATCAACTCCAAACGAATGATTGATAGGAGAGTTCTGCCAGTTCTGCTTTCATGCCCTGGTTCAAACTCCTTTCATAAGTTGGGTTTCAAGATTAACACTGATGTTTAACCACTACAAAGTCGCTGGGATCATTTTGAAACATCCGAACACGGTGCGCTAACGACACTGAGTCAGCTCAGGCACACCTCATGAGTGCGCGCAAAGAGCATGGTTTTGCAGTCGATTGGATGTGTTTGCCCAGCCCACTCGGGTGAACTGAGGGCAGCACTTCGGCAGAGTACTTTCACAAATTTGCTTTCACAAATCTGCAAACCCAGCCAATTCGGCTTTCAAACCGAGCTTAAGTACCATAAACAAGGTGTGCTTTGCAGGCCAAAGCTTGGTGGCCTGTGCTTTGCAGTGACCACATTGGGCCGAGTCCATTTGGGGCGATTTACGTCATGTGGGTATCGTGACTTCCTCACAGGTTTACTGTATAAGCGGCTGATTCCTACGAACCGTGGAGCTTGGGTGGCGATGCTTCCAGTGTGGCTACACAGAAATGGAGGCCGCTTGCTCATTGGGGGAAGTCAACTCACATGGGTCTTGTAGCAGCAGATTCAGATTCTACAAGCAGACTTTAGCCTGAACACAAAATCCCTTTAATTGGAAAACATAGGCTCATATCTGGCTTCTTTTCGAAAAGTCAGTTCACTGTGAGAAACGCATCATCTAAGAGCTGCACTCCAGCCAGTGGTCCCTACCAGTGAAGACAAGATCGTTTGCCCACTTGTACCGCCAGAGGACATGGACCGGACCAAGAAATTCCCGCAGACGTACACTGGATCGGGATTGGTTGTGGGCAGCACGGACGGAGCGAACAGGCGAGCATCGCGATCGATGTAGAGATCGTCTCTTCCAAAGAATGGGAGTTCTGAACATCCCCCCACTACTCCCTTCAAGCTACTAGGAACAAGTGCATCGCTTCTAGTAACAAGTGCCTTACTAGTAGTAAGAAGGACGCTAGTAGTACTACTCCCTTGAGAGGACTTGGCTTTGGCCTTGCCCACAGACGGTCGCGAAGAATCGGAGGCAGACACCTGCGCATAGTCCGTCGAGACCGGTTTTTGGTTGCGGGCAAAGCAGGTTCTGGCCAACTTGCAGTTGTCTTGATGTCTTATCGGCCAAGATCTGGCACAACATATTGCCAAAATGAGCTCGCTCTCGCCTCTGCAGCCGAAAGCTTCCTAGGTAAGTCTTGTTTTGGTCAACTTGTCGCACATGATGTGAAAGCCTTCAAGGTTCAAGATACTTGAGTTGCTAATTACTTGAGGCGCGGATTGTGCGAATGCATCAGTGAAAGCTGGACTCGCTGGAGAATCACGTACCCCCTTTCATCCTCCAACTTTGCAAAATTGAGAGCCGCATGTTTTAACAGAGCCAAGTCCGGCAAACCATTGGAGTTTGCAGATGTTCTTGCGAAGCCACACTGAAGGCTGAAGATACACGTACTTTGTGGCTTTCAAAGATAGGTATGTGTATGGCATCAGGTGATAGACCAAGTGGAGTTCACAAACTTGCAACTTGCAACTTGCAAGCCTTTCACACGCTCCAGGTCCTTTCTGTTGGATTGTCAGCCGATGTGTCTCTTCTCAGCTCGTTGCTTGCCTTTGGTGGATCGCTCTTGTGAAAGAAGGCCAGCCCCGTACAAATTTGTTGGTGCCTTTCTATTGAGGCAGGGCTGTTTGCAGGGTCCAAGAATCCAGAGTGGCTGACTAGACTGAAAGCAGATTGCGCGGAGGCAACTAAGCTGCCTCCTAACAGATGCTGGGTAACGCTAGTTTGAGGTGCTTCATTCTTCCTCTTTAAAATTGACCATCTTGGCCAATTTGGGAAGAACAGATGCTGTTGCATCCAGGGCTCACGTTTCCTACCAAAGGTCTAAGAATTTTGCCAACATGTTGTGCCCTCCAAGTGTTGTCATGAGGCCTTCTGAGCCTCAAGGTGGCCAAGCTCGCCTTGCCAGTGTCAACATCGGGATCGAGCCCCCAAATGACCAGCTCAACAAAGAGCCTGTGGATCATTCGCTGTGTGAGTTTTTTGTGATAGCCCATTGGAGGTGCGTTTCCTTCACATGTCATCCATCGTGTTTGGTTTGCTCCAGTTATTCCTCAGTTTGCAGTGACCCTTGGACTTTGTGAGGAGCCAGGTTCATGGCTTACGCCCAGGTTGATCCGGTATTGGAGGGTCGCGGTGCCTGAGCTGAGCAGCTGCCAAAACCTACGATCAGTGGTGAACTTCAAAAATTGGCTCAGAACCTGAACAAGCGATAGGCTCTCCTCGAAAGGGTGGATAACCCTGTCATTGCAGCTTTTGGATGTGTTCAGCTATGTTGAAAGTGTGGCTGGGGCGTGAAAAAGCGATAAGCCCCTCAAAAGCAAGAACCTTTTGAATCATATCCTTTTGGTTAACAAGACGTTTTGGCAGACGCTCAGCTGGATTCAGGTCCAGGATCAGAAGCCTCCAGAAGGGCCAAGGTGCAAGTTCGGAATGCATTTCGGAAGACTTCTCAAAAGAGAGCAGCTCAGGACCAGGGCAATAGGAATTTCCGACTTCAGGGACTTCAGCGCACTACGCTTTTGCGACCATGGATTTATGGCCATTTGCACCCAAGCACACCTTGGAAGATGGGTTGCAACATGTTGCAACTACTAGGAGCAAGGACGCTACTCCTGGCATCGCTACTAGGAGCAAGGACGCTACTAGGGGCTCTTGGCCTCACTACTAGTAACATGAAGCTAGTAGTAGCAAGGACGCTGTACAAACCTTGATGCGTTGGTCATCCTGTGAAACCCAACCCATGAGACGTCGTCAGATCGTTTGCCGAAAGTGCAAATGATAGGGGCAGGTCAAACCACTGGCTGGTTGGGGACCAATAGTGCGCTGAATCGCTTGTATCACGGGTGATCTTTTTGTGAGCATAGGAGCGGCTGCCTTTGCCGTCATTTCATGGGACAACCGTCACCATTTCTGTGACGGCAAAGGCTTGTACCCAGTAACGCGTCCCTGACAACACATCCAAGTATGTTAATGTAAAATTTGGGTGATGCATTCGTACGACAACAATCTAGGGAAAAAAGGACCAGATGTTCCACAGGGAATTCTCTTATACATGTTCAAATTCTAGCAGCTTTCCAACAGGGTTTGATCCTTAACGTGCTGATAGAGCAACTAGAAGTGCAGAAGAACCCTTTGCCAAGCAAGCTGGGAAAGGATGTGGGGGTGCCTTAAGTCTTGTGTTGTCCTTAGGCAGTTTGGAGTTTGGAGGCTATATAAATGCCAAAACCAGTGAAAGGACAGGCTTTTGTTGAGTGGCTTTACCGCTTGACCGAAAGCCGGTGTTTGTAAAGCATTGTAGCATATGCATTGATTTGCCTATACTTGCTTTCCACAGGCTCTAGTCGAGATGAGAATATTGCAAGTTCGCTGAGCATACATTCTCCTTTATGCTGCCCTACTGCGCTTTCTCTCACGCAGGCACAGAGCACAGTCCAGCCACCGTTGCACCTTGAAACAGTGCAGTCACACTTGCAGATGCGTTCGCATGTTGACAGACCAGACAAAGGTGGGTGAAAAGAAACTGGACGTGGCTTCGCCACAGACGTGCCTCCATAAACTGACTCATAATTGAAGCTGCAGCAGAGCAGCTCTTAGCCACCTAGCGCTGGAGCGATGTATTTTCCACATTCGTCCACATGTTTTGTGTCGATGCTTTTGCACCTCTCGATTGAATTCTTCCGTCAAGGATCTTGGGATTCTTGAAATTGTCAGACACCGTGAAGCCCTGAGAAGACCTTCTGAAATCCCTGATTGAGGATCTCCCTCGGCAGTTGATTTTTCTTGCTTTCCCCCTCCACCCTCAGCCGGGCAGCCCGTTTTGGCAATTTGCCACTCTTTGGGTAGAGGAAGCTGCTCGCCGGGCCCAGCGAGGTTCAGAACTCACGTGCTTTTAGAAGCGCGACATGTTTTGCAGAAGGAAGCCTAGGTCTTACAACATCTGAAAGTACTGTTTCCTCCATTCTTGTAACGTGTTTCCACCCAAAAAGGGCCTATGTCCACATGCGACTCGCAGCTTCTTCGAATGTCGAAGATTCCCAGCTGGAGTGTCCACTGGCTCCAGGGGAATCACTCCCACCTTCTTCAAGCCTTCTTCATGCAATCTGATGTCACGAACATAACGAGGTGTCCATAAGTCTCAAGCTAGGAGGATGCTCTCAGGATCATCGGACGTTATGGCCATGAGCATTAGCACTGCAGGAAGCCGAAACTGAGTCCCACCTAGCGATCAGAGCTCTGAAACCATTGACATGATCATATTTGGTGGTTTCCTCCGGCAAGAACGCTGTGCCGCCTTTGAAGAACACAAATTCAGTGTTTCCTTTGCCGATTCCACATGACTTGCGGAGGACAAGGAAGCTGACAAAGCTGTGTCAGCTTCCCCAGTTTGGCGTTGCGATGGAAATTGATCGAGCGAAATCGCCACACCTCCACCTGGACCAAACCGAACTCTGCCTCACATCCCCACCTGGCGCATGTGGTGTTCCCGTGGCTTGGCGCACGTGTGCAGCCACTGCGCACGGCATGCGTTCCAAGCACCAATCCGATGCTTCCCTTGTGGCGTTTTGCCCCATAGGCATAGGCTGTTTGGACCTTCTCCCATAGGGAACCATAGATTCTTCATGTCTTCATGTTCAGCCTTGTATTGTGGACTGCCTTCTCCAGCCTCCTCTCTCAGAATCATCGCTGCGCCACAAGTTCTGCAAGTTGGTCATGGATGTCCGGCCTCCTTTCTTGCCTCATTGCTTTAGATAGGCTCAAGAGGCCTTTAAACATCAAATGGTTGTGCATAAGTCTTTACAGAACACTTGAAGGTTTTTGAATCCAAAAGCCCAGAGTTCACAAGAACAAAGACCGTTGCGAAAAGTATAACAAGGGAAGTAAAAGCAGTTTAACTTGGTCTCAGCTCCTTTGCCTGATCCCCTTGAAGGTTCGTGGGCGTTCATCACTTCACCCAGAGCTTGGCTGAAGCCACACCAGCAGCTCACAAAGTATTGTAGAGCTTCGTGGATGTGCTTGAGTCGTCAAAGTTGTTCTTCAGGGGCGGGCAATATCGTCATTTAAAGCGAGAACTTAGTCTGCTAAATGTAATCCCTATCCAATGCTCAGTTCTGTTGGAACGAGTGCAAGATGCGGTTGCAATGCTTGGGGATGCCTCGGTTTTGCACGCTTCAAGCCGGCCAATATGTTTTTTTGATATCATTTGCAACAATGTGCCGCCGCAACATATTGCTAGATCTCAAAAGACGAAACCGTGTTGACTTTGTGCTCTGCCAAACGATCCAGGGTGGACAGCCAGAATCTAAAAGGCTTGCGAAGGGAATGACGATGAACTGCTGATGTTTGGTCCAGTGCTGTGCTGATCGTGCAGTGCACTGATCTCCATGTAGAAACTTCCGGTCCCTGGGACATCTAACGCTATTGTGTGAGACTCGTTGGAGAGACGCAGCATCATCCTTTGCTAGGTTGTCTTTTAAATCCATGCTCTTCCTTCG